GTCCCCAGAACGAGCATTGAGGATCGTTGGAAGCGGGCCCCCGCGCGAGCAAACGAATTGTCGTCATCGGCCGAGCCTCGTGCAGATTTCGCTTTGAAACGACAGTGCGGCCTCGGCGCGGCGCATAGTTCGTTTTCGCCGCGCTCATCGGAGTGCTGAGCCGCGCGAAGAAGGGCTACGCGTCGGTCGTTGGAAGTAGGTATTCCTGGATTCCCATATCCCAGACTACTTCAAGCACCTCCCAGCTTCAAGACTCGACATGTTTCTGCTGTGTCTTGTGTTGCGTTCTGGGAGGGCCTGGGCCCAGTCACCCCCCTGTGCCCTCCTGCCTCGCGTGCATTTGCCTTCTTCTTTCGACCAGCGTACACATGAGCGGCGCAACAGCGGAGTCGCCTGGCCCGCGTAAGGCGGCGCGTGGGCGTTTTCGCCTCCAGTGTGGCGTGTCGCGACGGCGGCCCGTGTACAGCGCCGCGTGAGGTCGTCGTGCCATATCGCGTAAGACTTATGATGTTCCACTCTACTTTGGCCTCGAGCACCAGACAAAATCCAGGACGGCAAAAATCACACAGACACAATTCATCGTCGATCCCCCGGAAAATATGGGAGAGTATGGGGAATGGGGGGGAAACGCGCAGAAAGTATTGGAACATGTTGGGGAGCCTCTTATATGTGTCTGCTTACGTGTGTGTCCCACGGCCCTTTCGAGAGGATGTCGAGCACCCGACGAGGTCCGAATAGCGCGAGGGCCTTCGCGCATCGGGCCCCCGCGGGAGAAGCGCTCGCCCCCGGCAATGCTCCCCGACCTTCTCTCGTTCGGCACGTTCTCCCGTTTTTTTTCCTGTTTCGTGTTTTTTTGTTCATTCTCGAAGATAGGGAAATAAATCAACAGGGAAATAAAGAGAAAGGAAGAACAGGAAATGTGAACCAAAGAAAGGGGTAGGGCAAAAAGAAAGGGGGCAAATCCAACGGAGACATTCGCTTTGCGAAATCCAAAGAAAGGGGCCAAATCCAATCGACTTATGATGCTCCAGCCTATATTTAGCCTTGACCGCCAGAACGAATTTCAAGCGCCAAAGAAAGTGCCGAAGCTCAAGGGTGTTTACGTGTCGGGCCCTGGGAAGCACTCGCCTGACACTGTCTCGACATCCTTTCGGCACTTCTCCGGGTGCTCGATAATATTCCTGAGGTCTGGCAGGTGGCCCGTTCGGAGGCGGCAAAGAGGGGGGTGATGACCAGGGGGGGGGATCTCATGGCGGGGGCCATCATGTTTCCCCAGATCTCATGGCGCCTATTCTCACTTCGTTGCGTCCCTGCCCCACCCCCCCGGGGGCCGCACACGTGCCGCCGGCCATGAGTTACCAGAGCCTTTCGGAGCTTAGAGCATACACATTACCAGTGGCGGGCTGCTTTTCAACCCCAGGACTTTTCTGAGGGTCGGGGACGACGTCGGGGTGGTGTGGTGTATACTTTTGTCCCCGTTTTCTTGGGGAGACGGCGAAACATGTATGCACCAGGATCCCGTATACACCAGAATCCGCGTTCTTGTGAGATTTTCAGCGTAGGGTCGGAAAAAACGTCGGTGTATAGAGCTCGTTTCCCTACCCTTCACCGAGCATGTTCTTTGGGTGGAGGGCAGAGGGTGAAATCTGGAATGCCGTTTCAGTGGATTCTCGAGGCTTGAATCTACAAGAGGCAATCACAAGACGGACTGATTTTTCCGAGGTGCAGGCGCCCATGTGGATTTCACCCTGAGCCCTCCACCCTGAGAACGTGCTCAGCTCAAGCACGATGGAAGCAACGCAGCGTAAGACCCCTCGCCAGCGGGGGCCTTGGCATCGCTCGGTCGTGTGCCAAGCTTGTCAAGCAGCGGCGAAGCGTCCCGGCTCGCCTACAGCCCCACCACACAATGTTCTAAGAACTTTTCGTGGCTTCCGCGAGATGTTCTCAGAACATTTCTGGCTGGGACTGTCTTGTTGTAACACATCGGGGTTATGCTCCAAGAACATTGTTTTTGTTTTTCGAACATTTTTGGGTTCTAAGAAAATTTCGTGGTATGACCATAGGAATGCCGGGACGGTCGGTCCCTGCTCAAGCCAAGCTTGGGAGGCAGGGATCCCTTGGGGCCCAGATGTTCCCTTATCTCAGTGGAGGGAAGAAGCATGGCGCGCGGACGGCCAGGGCTGTCTCTGCGCGCTGCCCGTGGGGGTGGGCAGGAGAAATGGGATCGTGACCCCCTGCGCGAACAGCTCCCCTGGGGCCGCTCCTTCAGATGCCGGAGGGTCTTCCTCCCCCCCTCTGACCCTCGCCCCCTCGGCGGGCGAATGGAGGCAACTGCGGCTCTGAGTCCCGGCGCAACTCCGCCCAAAATCAGTCACGAGCCCCTCCCAAGAATCAGAGGGCCATGGCATCGCTCGGCCTTGGCATCGCTCGGTCGTGTGCATTTGTCCTCGGCGAGGACCATCGGTCATCGGGAACAAAAGGAGCCCTAACCCTGAGAACACTACGAAGACGCGGCCTCGCTGAGGTCCCCGCGTTTGCATTGAGGGCAGCAGAATCTGGACGGCTTGGCCTGGCACATCTGCAGAAAACACCCATACATCCCTAACGTTCCTGGCCCTCCTGAATTTGTTCCCTCCCAAAGAGTTAGGGATTCTTGCTTGATGAATCCATCCAGGGGCATCTTTGATAATACAGCGGCGAAGCAATGCACGACATCGAAGAAGGCATGGGGACTGGACGTCCGCGCGATGGCAAGTTATACAGTCGGGGCCCTGAAGAAGGAACCCTTTTCGTTGGGGAGGGGCTCCGTGCTCCTTAATTGTTTCGCAGCTTGCCTCGGGTTTTCCTTATGTTTTCGATGGGAAATCGAAGTTTGACTTATGGAAAAAAGGGCGTCGGTCCTTATTCAGGGTTCCTTATGTCAACGCCCCGACTGTACCCTCCCACTCCTTCTTCCGGGCCTTCTCGCCCTGACCTTCCGCCCCTTGGTCGACAGGATCTGTGTGGGTGTCACTGAATTGCTTAAAGATTTCCACGAGTACCCATGAATTCATCCGCACTTTCCGCGGAGGTCGGAAGGTATAGAAGGTGGAGGTGGAGGGTAGTTGATGTTGATTCCTGCTCCTGCTGCCTTACATCCCCATCCTGCTGCTTCGCCGGATGTCCCCCGGCAGGTTCAGTCTCCCGCAAACTCGATCACAGCCGGTTGCGTGTTTCGAAGCCGAACAAGTTTCATAAACATCATTTTCGACGGTCCGCGCGGAATTCTTGGATCCGCCCTGGATCCCCCTGGCGGCGCCTTGGGCGCCGCCCCGGGCGCGCTCCGCGCGGACCGTCGAAAGTTTATGCTTATGCAATTAGTTGGTTCTTCCTCTAGTGTTGGGAACGCTTGCGCCATGAACCCCCCAATTGTGTTGGTCCAGCCGCCCATCGGGACTGCACTGTCCCAGGTCGCTGTGGAGTCGCTTGCTGTTCGGGGAGGAGGGGGGGACAAGGGAGGAGCCAACGTCTCATTCAATCGACCTGACTGTCGATTTGACTGTCGATCCCACTATCGATCCCACTATCCATATCACTATCCACTCACTATTGATCTCACGGTTGATCTCACGATCGATCTCGCGATCGATCTCATTAACGATCCACCTCATTCTCGATAGCATTATCGATCTCACTATCGGCTCCACTATCGAATCTCACGATCGATCTCACTAACGGACACCGACCGAACACCAACGCGTCGCCGAAGGGGCACCGACATCCACAGGACACCACGGCAGGACAACTTGGTCAACCCGGCCACCGCGGAGGGTCGGACAGCTGTTTTGCCCCGCCCTGGCAAGAGCGAGTCTTTCCCTCTCGTTCGCTCACGCAGCTCCTTCGCCCGCACGCGCGAGAAAGAACCCGGCACCGAAACCGATTTCCCAGGGGGGGGGGCGCTCCGTTCCACTTCGATCTCGCTCCCAACCTTCGGTTCGTTGTGGCTCCTGCGGCCGCTGCCGTTGACGGTGTCGCGCCACAGTCTCGATCTCGCCCCTTGCGTTCCACCCTGTTCTCTCTGGGGACTTGCCTCCTGCGGCAGGCCAGTCCGCAGTCCAGCCTCGCGCAGAAGAGCACGGAAGCATCGTCGCATCCACGTGCACGTTGGAGTCGGGCGGCCGGGTTAGGTCGGGATTGATTGAGTTTGTTGCGCCTTCCCCCCGCTCTTCTTCAAGCCTGGTCCCCGCTCCTCCTGCAGAAGACTGACTGGAAATGCCGCAGCGGGACACGGCTCGCTGCCCCGTGGCGTGGACGGCGGCCGCGCCATGGTCGGAGCTGCCTCGGCAAGGCTCGGTGCCTCTCCCCCATGTCCTCAGAGTTGTCCCTCCCTGGGAGGGGAGGAGGAGGAGGAGGAGGAGGAGGAGGAGGAGGAGGAGGAGGAGGAAGAGGAGGCGGAGGCCGAGGCGGAGGATGAGGAGGAGGAGGGGGAGGAGGACTTCCACCTCGTCCTCCTCCCCTCTCCTCCCCTCCTGTCGCCTCGTCCTCCCCCTCCAGCCGTTTCCTTACCCCTGCCCCCCTCCATCCCGCCCCTTCCCACGCCCCCTCCTCTCCAATCACTGCCATCTCTCCCTCCTCTCTCCCGTCCTCATTCCACCGCTTCCCTCACCTCAGCGCCACCCAATTCCTCTCCCTCCCCGCTCCTCAAGTCGTTTCCACCATCCTCCCCACTGCCGGGTCCATCGTGGTGCCCGCCCGTTTGATTGAGTTCATCTCGCCCACGCTTGACCATGCTTGGCGTCCTCGCCATCGAAGTCGACATCCTCACCGTCCTGTTATATTGCGCATACCTGGTTTCCTTTCCCTATCTCTCCTGGTCTCTTCGGCATGGTCATTTTCCTACCCTTGCCGCTTAGGCTTCGCACTTACAGTGGGAAATGCGCAGTTGTATCATCATGTACCTCTTTCAAATACCATTCCTGCTCATTATGGTGCTCCTCCTCTTCGTGCACACATCTCTCCAGGACGACCTGTCTGGCAAGCAGCCCCCGAAGCCAGACGACCAGGCCAGGATGCGATTCGGCTTCAAGCCGCGGCGCGCGACGCAGCCTCAGGAGGGGCCGTCGCCGAGTGCTCTCGAGGCCAGGGGGATGTCTCCTCTTTCTCCTGGAGGGCAAGGCTGGGCTGGAGGAGGACACACTTGGTTCGCTCGCGCCACATCTGATGTCATACAGTGAGCGGCTTGAATAAGGAACGCTTACTTTTCAAAAGGGGCTCGGCCGTTCCATTATCGTTCCTTATGCGTTGTGTATTATTTATCGTTCCTTATGCGTTATTCCCTGGAGAAAAGGGGCTTCGTTCCTGATTTATCGTTCCTTAGGTCAGGCCGATGACTGTACCCCATTCCACCCATCTTTTCCGATGCGCTGAGCTACGTGGCACCCGCCCGCCAGGGCTTTCTGGAGGACGCTGGCTCCCGAACTGGCCCAGTCGTATGATGCTCAACCGTTAGGGGGAGAGGGCTGTGTACATTTCGGGGAGGAGGAGGAGGAGGAGGAGGAACTGGCCGATGAGCATGAGGAAGAAGAGTATGCTGAGGAAGGGCGGGGAGGATAATTGCCAGCAGGGTTAGGAGAAGCGGGAAGAGCAAGAAGACCAGTGGACGGTTGAGAAGGGGAGCGCGAAGAGGCGGCAACGACGAGGAAGGAACTTGATCCATAAATGTTGACCGCGTTGAGGTAAGAGCGCTATTCTGGACGAAAGGGGAGTAACGCGCCGAGTACTCGTGAAGGGGAGCTGGAGCATTGGGAGGAGGCAGGAGCAGGATTGTGAATCAGATGGCTGCCCTGCCTTCCCATTCGACTTCCCCCTTCCGTCTATGTCGTTGGTTGGCGCTGATATCCCTTCATTGTAGTTCGTATCCAGCTCCGACGCGAACGTGCGGGTGCTAAGTGTCCCTGGGGATCGATGAGTGCCCCACTCATGACTGTATCCGGCTGTCGACGTCAACCGCTGTGCTAGCGCTTCGACTTTCCCCGACACGTGCAGCCTCTTATGTTGCGTCTCTGGGAGACCTCGCCTGTCCCCCAAATCGGTGTCTTTAATTGTGCCCGTCACGGGCTCGATGTGGACTCGACGCGGATTTGTCGTGGATTCGATGCGGATTTGACACGTATTCGATACGGATTCGACACGCATCCGATGAGTCCGAAACGGATTCGGGTTCGACGCGGATAGGAACGCGACGGGACAGACAAGGTCCCCGAGGATGCAACATAAGTTTGCCATGCGTTCGATCAAAAGGTTGGTGTGGCTCTCCTGTGCTTGCGTTAGGCAATCGCAAGCATGGATCAAAGGGTGTGGATTAGCGAAGGGTCCCGTTTCCATGGGAAATCGCTGATTATCGCCGCCGGGCGAGGCGGCACCGGCCGCATTTTGGGAAGGGCACCTCCCCCGATCCATGGATTTGGCGACCGCGCGCCAAACATCCATGCATCGCTAATCCATGTTTGCGCGCCCTCGATTGTTGGGGCTGTGGGGGCTTCTCCCATACACGTACTGTTTGGTCGGGCATGTCCCCCATACAGGCGGATTTTGTGTGACATGTAAAACATAGTGAAACAAATACCCCCAACCTAGTCAAACAAATACGTTAAACAGTCCCCCGACCTTTTTTCCCCATTGTTCAATATTCCTCCTGTATCGGGCGAAGAGAATTATGCACATGCAACGATCCTGGCAAGGCCCATCCTTGACCCAGGATCGGTGCATATGCTGTCCTGGCCACGGTAGGAGGGCGTCTGCAACGGTCTTGGGCTCAGGATGGGCCTGGCCAGAATCGGTGTATGTGCATAGTTTTCTTTCCTCTGAACATACCCCCAGAATAGTCAAACAAATACGTGACAAAAAGTGCCCCGACTTGTTTGTTTTCCTATGTTTCAGTATTCCTCCTGTGGAGGGACACGCCCGACTTACACGCACCGTGGTTGGCGCGGGAGCGGCGGCGGCGGGGGCCAGCCCGTCGAGCGAGCGGGCAGCGCGAGCCGCCGCCCCTCCTCGGCGTCGGGCGGCCGCCTCTGTGGCTCCGCGGGGGGGCGCAGTGCTCGCGGAGCAAGAGGAGGACTCACGTACACGTAAAGTCGGCGGCGAGCGAGAGGGGGAAGCGAGAAGGAGGAGGCCTTCACAGAAGGCGGCGGGACTTCTCAGAAGCCCTTCGCGCCTTCTGAGAAGTTTTTGTCTGTCTTCGGGGAAGGCTTCGGAAACTTCTCGGAAGTCTGGGGGACTTTCGAGCCGTCTGAAAAGCTACGCCCCTTCTCACTTCCCCCCTGGCTCGCCGCCTACTTAAGTCGGGCCTGTCCCTCTACAGGAGGAATCGTCAAAGATAATCAAAACATAGTTTGGGGACGATCTTTTAAGCACTGTTTTGCTGCTTTGAGGTATTTGAGAACCGTTCAACCGATCCCCATCCCCATCCCCATCCCCTTGGAGACCCCCACCAAATTACCCCCCCCCAGGTTGGGGAGACACCCCCCGAAAACCGAAGGGGGCCTAGATCCCAATCTAGGGGAGTAAATCGGCCAGTGGGGCCCAGGCCACGCCGCTGGGGATGGGGGTCGGATAAACGATACTCAGGCGCGCATCAAGGAACCAGATGCTTTTCGTCAGGGCATCCTGGGTTTCTTCGCTCCACGAGCTGCGCGGCGACTTCCCGCAGCCGTGGAGGAGGCTAGTGCGTTCGGGGTGTCTTGGGCTCCCCCTCCGGTGCACGTCGCGCGCGTGTCTTCGGGGTTGGGCTTCTTGCGGCCGCGCCCGCACCGTACACGAATCCACGTTGGTTTCGAGAGCACGCCCTGGGGGGGGGGGGAAAGAAAGCGTGGACCCGATGAACCCCCCACCCCCCTCCCCCCCTACCCCGGCAGAGCCACCCCAGCCCCGCCCCAGCAGAGCTGAAGCTCAGGTCGTAGCTTTCCTAAACTCACACTCCGGATCGGCGGATTTTTCGGCCGGTCTCGCAGAGTTAGGGGCGTACGTCCTCCATGGGCTCCCAGTGCCAGAGCAACCCGTCGGGGTGCGCGGCGCAGCATCACAGGGCCGTGTGGCCGAGCCGGTCATGTGCTCTGGAGGATCCGAGGAGGAAGAAGGTGCCCATTCAAGCAGTTGCGAAGCGTCCCGGCTCGCCTATAGCCCCACCAAACAATGTTCTAAGAACCTCTTGTGGTTTCCACGAAATGCTCTCAGAATATTTCTGGTTGAGCTTATGTTCTAGGAACATCGTTGTTGTTCTTAGAACTCTTTTGGGTTCTGAAAACATGTTGTGGTAGGACTATAGGAATGCCGGGACGGTCGGTCCCTGCTGGGAAGCCTTCGTCGCCACCGCTGAATTCGCTTCGAATTCCTGGTCAGAACGCTCCCCAGGAGAGGTCCAGGGAGTAGCGGCATCGGTACCTTGTGGTTTCCCCAGAGGAGCCGTATTGGAACCATCATGATGCATCTTGAGGCATATCGGAATCCGTGGAGGTTTTTGGGACCGGCCCCTGGTCGTAGAGAGGATCCCGATATTGGGACATCACACGTACGTGTCGTACCAGTTTCGGCTTGGCCGGGTTGTTGGGATTCTCGCTCTCTCTCTCTCTCTCTTTGTCGGCTCAGCGAGATACGTGCTTGAAAGCAGCACAAGGAGCAGGGAGGAAGAAGGAAGGGGGGATAATAGGAGGGTGCATGGGATTCGGATGAGGGGAGGACCAGAAGGGGAAGAGGGACGAGGAGGAGAAGTAAAGCACAGAAGACGGCGACAACAAGGAGGATAATGCGGACAGGGATGCAGATTGGCAGCGGGAAGGGAAGGAGGAGGGGAAGCGGGAGGAAGATGAGGAGGTCTTGATGAAGTGTTGGTCATATTTGGAAGATCAAGGCGAAGTGAAGGAGATTGGTGAGGAAAAGGAGGGATGATGAGAATGGAGGAGGGGTGGAGGGAGAGGAAGGACGGAGGATCGAAGACGGATGAGGAACGATGCGGCCGATATAAGTGGAGAAGTTGGGTTGGGCGGAGGCAGGATGATGCGTAGGCGTGAAGAGTCGAAGCAGCAGTAGGATGTGGGGAAGAGGGACGAGCGTCAAGACGAGAGGAAGGGCAAGGGGAAGAAGAGAGGATAAGGGGAGGCGCGGAAGGAGGGGATATAGAATATTGGGGAAAGGGAGGGGGCGGTGGTGCGGAGGAAGGGGGCAAAGGATAGAAGGGGGGTGGGATGAATAGCCGGGTTAGGATGAGAAGAATTAGGAGGAGGAAGAAGAAGATGCTAGAGGATAGGGGATGAAGATGAGGGAGCGGCAGAGGAGGGGAGTAGGGTAGGGGTGGAGAAGGAGGAGGAGGAGGAGGAGGAGGAGGAATTGGGAGGAGGAAAAAGGAGGAGGAGTCGGGAGGGCGGGGTATAGGAGCAGGAGGTCGAGGGAAACAAGGACGAAAAGAGAGGAGAAGGAGGAGGAGGAGGAGGAGGAGCAGGAGGAGGAAGAGGAGCAGGAGGAGAAGGAGAGCCGGGATCGACAATGAAAAGAGGCGGTGGCAGGGGCATGAGAGGGGATGTGGTAGGAAGAGGAGGAGACGGAGGAGGAGACGGAGGAGGAGGAGGAGGAGGAGGAGGAGGAGGAGGAGGAGGAGGAGGAGGAGGAGGGGGGGAGGAGGAGAAAGAAAAGGCCGAGGAGAAGGAGGCGGAGATTTGGAGTAGGGAACGTGAGGGGGAGGAAGGACGAGAACCAGGAGGAGGAGGGGGATGAGGGAGATGATCCCCGGCCCATCCCTCCTCAGGAGCGCGGCTTCGACGCCGCGGCCCTCCCGAGCCCCGCGCGCTCCAGGTGCGGGGTGCCTCACGGCACTCCCCCGCGGCAGGCGCCGCCATTGTCGGCCAGGACGCGGGGTGCGATCCCCAGGGGGGCAGCTGCCGGGAGAGGGGGGGGGAGGGACAGCGGAGGGAGGAGAGGTGGTGGGGGGGAGGGAGGAGGGCGAGGAGGGGCCAGGAGGGCGAGGAGGAGGAGGAGGAGGAGGAGGAGGAGGAGGAGGAGGTACTCGGAAGGATTACCTGAGACGCACAATGTACGGGGGGGCGAGGGGGGGGAGGAGGGCGAGGAGGAGGGTGAGGGAGGAGCGAGGGCGGAGGGGCAGGAGGGGGAGGAGGGAGGAGGGCGGGAGGGAGGAGGGACAACCCCTGACACCAGGGAAGGGCAGACCTGTGTTTCGATGGTGCCAACCTCTCTGGGTGGGGGGGGGCCTCGCCAGGCGGGTCGATTCGTAAGCTCGGGACCGCCGCCCGCCACGCAGGCGCCCCTCCGCACTGCGGGGCGGCAGAGGGGCGGGGGCAGCGACCAGGAGGAGGGAGGAGCCGGAGGAGAGCGGAGGATGGTGAGGTACAGTGGGGGCGCGCCTCAAGAGACCATCATTTTTTCGTCAGGGCACCCTGGGTTTCTTCGCTCCGCGCGGTGCGCGGCGACTTCCTGCGGCCGCTGGAGGAGCTGCTGCGTTCGGGGTGCTCCAGGTTTACCATCCGTTGCACCTCGCGCGCGGGTTTTCAGGGTTGGGTTTCTTGCGACCGCGCCCGCATTGTAGGTTTGGCGAGGGGCTTCGGGGGCTCAGGCAGGATGAGATCGGGAGTTGCAAGAAGTGCGCCTGGCCCCGCGTGCAGCGGCCGGGAGGAGGGAGGAGCCGGAGGAGAGCGGAGGATGGTGAGGCAGGGTTTTGGCGAGGGGCCTCGGCGGCTCAGGCAGGATGAGAGCAGGGGTTGCCAGAAGTGCGCCCGGCCCCGCGTGCAGCGGCCGGGAGGAGGGAGGAGCCGGAGGGGAGCGGAGGAGGGCGAGGCAGGTCTTCGGCGAGGGGCCTCGGCGCAAGGCCGCGAGTTGTTCCGATACGATCACGATAGTTCTTCGCAGTGGACGGGTGTGGCCCCCGCGAGGGGGAGCGGATTTAAAGTGGGGAGTTGCCAGAAGTGCGCCTGGCCCAGCGTGCCCCCAGGGTTTTTCCAATGAGGCCCCCCGGCCTCCAGAGCACCCCTCGCGGGGCCCAGAGGGCCCCGGGGTCTCCAGAGTGGAGCGAGAAGCCGGGGGCACCTGTTGGCCAGGGGCACCTGTGGCAACCCCCGATAGAGAGGTTACAGATGGTGGTGTGCATAAGTCAGGAGGGGAAAAAACACACAGACACAATTAATCCTCGATTCCCAGGAAAATATGGGAAAATATGGGAATTGGGGGGGAAGACAAAAACCCAGAAAATATGGGAAAATATGGGGACTATTTTTATTTGTGTGTATTTATTTGTGTGTCCTAATTTCCCTTTAATAAGACGTTGTTGGCACAGGGGCTCGCACCTCGCCGCGCACGACCACGCCTCGTCAGGGCACGACCGAGCTCTCAACCTCCGCACGCCCGATGAGGCATCACGAACGCCACGTCCTGAGGCGAGTCCGTGCATCGAGAAACACCGGCATCCTCTTGAACCACTGATGCATGAAGGTAGCCGCGGCGGAGCCTCTGCTTCCTGGTCGGCGCGGGACGCGGCAACGTTCGCGCCGGACGAAAGGGGGGGATTGGAAAAGGGGGGGTTACGAAATCTGCCGCATGCAGCCGGTCTCGGCCCCACCGAGGGGCCCATTCCTCGATACATAGCCGCCTTTGGCGCCGGGAGGCGCCGGGAAAATCAGCTACGCGAGCTGATTCTCCAACCCCCCCTTTGCTATCCCCCCCTTTCGCGCGGCCCGAAACGTGCTCGGGCGCAGTGTTCCCCGTGCAGGCAGCTGCGCGAGCTCCGCCACGCTCTGTCAGTGCCAGGCCCTCGACCGCCGGGCGCGGGGGGGGGGGGGGCAGCCTGCCTCGCGAACCCGCCGGGTGCCTCCTCGACGAACGGGGCGGCCTCGGCGCAGCCCCCGGCCTGGAGCTTGGCATCGCTCGGACGTGTGCATGTTTCGATGAGCATCCTTGATCATTTAGCGAAAAAACCACGCACGAAACCGAAAAAAGCACAGGGAATGGACGTCCGAGCGATGGCGAGGGTCTGGAGGAGCCTGGCCCGTCGCGCGGCGCCGAAGAGCCCTCGAGCGCCGCCGCTCCACGAGCGGGGCGCGGCGGGGAGAGGCCCCGCCCGGCGCCCCGGGCCAGGGCCCAGAAGCAGCCCGTGGGGGCGGCAACGTCGGGCATGTGCGTCTACGGGAGGAGCCTTCAAGAGTGGTAGAAACTGGTCTGGGGACGATGGCCGGTGTTTTTTTTCCGATGAAGGCATCTATACACCACCACCGTGCCAAGGCAGGGCCATCCTGGGGCCCAGGGTGGCCCTGCCTTGGCACGGTGGTGGTGTATAGATGCCTTCTGCGAATTTCTTGAAAGTGCGTGAATAGGTTGGACTAGTGTCCATTTGTCTTCCACAGTCCGCCTGTAGGGGGACATGCCCGACCTAACCTTGGAATCGGGGCTCCAAGGACGGGGATCCATGCAAACAGGGGTCAGTCAGAGCGCCGGATCTTGCAGGATTCTGCAGGGCCAGAGGCGCATTGACCTGGGCCTGTGCGCAAGAGATCCAGCAATGTCCTGCGAGTGCACGACAGCGGCCGCAGCCCGCACGCAGACGTCACATTGGAATTGAAGGGCGCGAGTCAATGGGGGGTCAAAAAAGGGGGGGGGAGCGAGGGCTGCAAAAAACGATGCCTTTTAGGGCCCCTAAGCGGACCCTTTCGGGCCCCAGAGGGAGGCCGCTTAAGGCCCGTAAAGGGCACCTTTCTTCCGACCCCCCATTTGTCGCCCACCGCTTACTCGCGCCCAACAGAATCTGGAAGTCCCACCGCAAGTACCCGTACAGTCAACCCGCATAGTAAGGATGAGCGATTTTCCAAGGTTACAGTGGGAACCCATACCAAGAAACACCTTGCTTGTCTACAGGGTGCCCTTGGTTTCTTGGGCTTCGATGATTATGCGAAGGAGAGCGTGGCGTTCCCACAACAAAAATCAATGGATGTCCTGGAGTCTCAGAGTTGGGTTTATTGTGGAAGGTTTCTTGTGGTCGAGCCCCTACTGTGCTGCAAGCATTCGCACAGTTAACCCGCACAGTAAGATTACCCTGTGCATCGTTCTGCTAAATTGCCCCCCTGGAATTATATCGGTGCGGTGCTAATTATGGATAGCCCTGGGGGGTTCTTATTAATTGCCTGCGGTCACCCTGTGCATCCTTCCCACCCGCCGGGCCCATGCTTGGCCGCTCTCGCTGGCCGCGCCCCGTGCGCAGAGTGTATAGGCGTGGCCCCCTGTGGTCCTTGCATCCTTGCCGTGAGGGCCGCTGAAGCAGGAGCCCTCTTCGTTGTGGAGGGGCCCAGTGGGGCCGTTTTTTTGTGTTTGTTGCGGGTCGCCAATCTCTTCCCGTCTCCACTTTCAAGGGGCCCTTTTTCGGAAGCGGTGAGGGCCCACTAAGAGGCACGCCAGTCTCGGGTGGCAAAGGGCAAAACCAACACGCCACATGAGCTCGAGCAGACGGCACTTGCAGGAGGAGGAGGAGATGGGGAGGAGGAGGAGGAGGAGGAGGAGGAGGAGGAGGAGAAGGACGTCTCTGGGACGTCTCTTGAGGTGAGGGGGGGCGCCCGTGGCGCCCCAGGAGGAGGAGAAGGAAGAGGAAAAAGGAAGAGGATGAGGAGGAGGAGGAGGAGAGGAGAAGGAGGAGAGGAGGGGAGGAAGAGGGGAGTAGGAGGGGAGGAGGACATTGTTTTCCTCGGAAGCGGGGGTTGGGGGAGGAGGGGGGAGAGGAGGGGAGGAGGAGGAGTCTGGAGGAGACGCTTTTTTTCGAAAGCGGTGACAAAACGGCACTGTCGTTCCCGAGGGCCCACTATAAGAGGCACGCCGTGCTCGGGTGGCAAGAATAGGGCAAAGCCAGCACGGCACAGCAGCTCGAGCAGACGGCATTTGGAGGAGTAGGAGGAGGAGGAGGAGGAGGAGGAAGAGGAGAGGAGGTGGATGAGTAGGAGGAGGGGAGAGGAGGAGGAGGAGGAGGAGGTGGAGGAGGAGGAGGAGGAGGAGATGAGGAGGAGGAGGAGGAGGAGGAGAAAGGAGGAGGAGGAGGGGGAGGAGGAGGAGGAGGAGGAGGAGGAGGGAGGTGGAGGAGGAGGAGGAGGGAGGAGGAGGAGGAGGAGGAGGAGGAGGCAGGGAGGAGGAGAGGAGAAGGAGGAGAAGAGGAGGTGGAGGAGGAGGAGGAAAGGGGGAGGAAGCGGGGGAAGAGGAGGTGGAGGAGAGGAGGAGGAGGAGGGAGAGGAGGGGGAGGAGTGAGGAGGAGGAGGAGGAGAGGAGGAGGAGGAGGAGGAGGAGGAGGGGGGGGAGCCGTGCCGTGCCGTGCCACGGGCGGGTGTCGGTTCTTCTTGCTCTTGCCAGCGGCAGCCGCAGGGATGGCGCCGCTTGCCCTGCCGGCGTCAGCAGCGCCGCCCACTTCGAGTCCGTGAGCCTAGTGGAGGCCGCTTTCTCTGGCCTGGAGAGGGTGGAGGACGACAGTCGAGGAGGACGTCGACGACGGATCAACAGGAGGATCGAGGAGGAGCAGGGCTGGACCTACGTAAACGGTGTTTTGGCGATCTCTTGGGCCGTTTTTGTGTCGATGTCGTTTTGCGGTAAAGGCGTATTGAAGACAAAACGAAGGAAAACGAGCACATAAGTGAAGCGACAAACACTGTTTAGGTTCAGCCCTGAGGATCAGCAGGAGTTCCGGTGAGGAGCATGAGTGTCGTCGGGAGTTGTGAGAAAAAAAGAGGAGGAGGAAGAGCTCCCCGATGCCTCCCGCCTCCACCTCGCGTCAAATCTCTCCTCCAGTGTGGACGGCGGGTGTCCAGGTCATGTGTGCGCCGTCTCTCAGAAACCCGGAACAGGCAAGATCCCTGCTTGCAGGAGCGGCCCCTGAAGAGTCTGCTTTCTGATGCCACCCAGATCCAGCTTCTGTGTTGCGTGATGGGTATCACTCATCGTTTTTGATTGTTGCAGCTGCCTGCGGCAAGTCCCGCCACGGTGCCGGCCCAGCATTAAGGGTGGCGACTGTTCGCGGGGGCACGGGAGGCCGTCACGTGTGACACCTCGTGTCTCCAGGCTTTGCGAAAGTCGAAGCCGTTGTCTGCAACTTGTTGCCGCCCGAGTCCGCGTCAGGGTAGCACATATGATGGGTGTCTGGGGAACGTCGTGAGACCCTCTTGGCCGTATGATGGGTATCTGGGGGCCGTTGTGGGGCCGTCTTGGCGCCGTCTTGGGCCGCCGAAGGGCCTTCTAAGGCCGTCTTGCATCCCACGGGAGGCCCCCTTGGGCCGTCTTGGGGCCATTTTGGATGCATATTGGGCCACCGTGTTGTTTTTTGTCAGCCGGGCCACCTGTGGACCCTCTAGAGGGTATCTTGGGGCTTTTGGGGGGCCATCGCAGGGCCTTCTTGGGCCGTCTTGAGCAGGCGGCAGTCGGAAACGACGAGAATGCGGCAATCCCTTGAAAACGATTGTGGTTTCTTCAGACCCTGTTGGAGGTCCTCTTGTCGTCCTGTGGGTTCTTCTTGGGAGCATCCTGGGCTTGGAGCCATCTGCGGCCGCCATGGGGGGGCATGCTGGGCCGTTTTCGAAGCATCTTGGTGTCCTTGATTGCCTGCATGGGCCGTCTTGGGAGCTCAATATGCGTACCTATAGGTTATACAGAGGCACCGTGGTAGCCCTCGGCATTTGTCCACGCCTCACTATACCAGGGGACACGGTGGCGGATGTGTAGACATACTCCTGCACATGCGCACGTGCACGACAACGTGCGTATCTTTCTACACACGCGTAGAGGTGCGAAATGTATTCACGTGTGTATGTAGGCCTCTCTTGTTCTCTCTCTCTCTCTCGCTTTCTGTCTCCTCTGTTTATACACACATACATACATGCATGCATGCATGCATGCATGCATGCATACATACATACATACATACATGTATATGATATATTACCGCGACTGCTAAGTATGTTTCTCTTGCCGCCGCTCCTCCTAGTCCGGATCCTTCGCATGATGATATTGGTCGTCCTGATTACCCTCGCATCTTCTCATCCTCATGGAATTTGTCCTTTCCTGTTATTTCCATCGTGCCGTAGCCACTTTGGTTCAAGGCGCAAGATTCCCAGGTGAGCCAAGTGGATACCGCTAGTCCGCGGCTAGATCCCTGTCTATTTGAGGCTCTGGTGGACCTCCTCATGGACCTGTCTGCTCAGGCTCGGGACGCGTGTTCTGGACTGTCCACCATGGTTGGTTCTACCAGTGTTTGTTCCAATTTGCTTGTCCAGGCTGGTCCAATCAGTGCTCGACCCCCTGTCGGAGCAACCTCAGAGTCAAGCAGATTATGTCGGGATGGCGTGGCGTTGTAGGACCCCGCTTCATGCTGCTCGTGTTGGTTCTGCTGGTTGGTGTCGTTGACCAAGGGTTGTCCGACAGGCTCCGATTCGGTGTGCGCGAATTGCGGCAATTCTGAATACAGTCAGCCCGCATAGTAAGGATGGACATCGGTCCCAAGAATACCCTGGCATCGTTGCCTTTTCGGCTCATCCTTGTCCACTTTCGTTGGTCGCGCTCCGCTCGCACAAGTGTCGGGAAAAAAGGCACCCAAAGCCTTTGCATCCTTTTATCGCACATCCTTCTGATACGGGCCGACGGTTTGACTGGTACGACAACGTCAGATTTGCGAGTTGGTCAGGTCAGTACCGTGGCGTGAGGAACGGATTGCTTGTGCAATGCGACTGTGCAGTTGGCCGCATTTGCACCTCAACATCCCAGCATGCCAGCCACCCCCCTGGCTGCGAGTCAGCATGCGGCAGTTGCCGCCTGCCTGCGGCGGCCCCGCAGCCCGCCACAGAGGGCGAGATCGAGCGCAAGGTGGCTGCCCGCCAGGCTGGGCCCGCGAAGGGGGCGGAGCGTGTCTCGCGCGCGGAGCGAGCTGCGCGTAGCGAGGTGGGAGGCTGGCGTCAGCGGCTACGCATCGAGAGGCGATGGTTCGAACAGGGGACTCCTCGCTACCAGGGCCCGAGTGCTCGCGCAGTGCCATGGAGAGTCCAAGTCGGCCCACGAGACCCAGTGGTCATTCCAACACGATCAGTTTCATTTCGGTATTCGCGACGGAGAGCTTCGGCAACCCGAAAGGCGTGATCAGCAGACAGCACCTGCACAGCTGGGGGCGGTTCTTGCTGGATGTGTAGCCTAGTTTGCAGGTGAAGGTCATGCTCCCGCGCGACAGCCCCTTGCATGTGCCGGTGGCGGTGATCGCGCGCAGCCTGGTGCTCGGCCTCAGCCTGGCGCGCAGTCTCATCCGCAAGCTGGTGCTCAGCCGCGACCTCCCCCTGACCTGGTTCAGCCCAAGAAGGAGGCGCTGCGCGCTTGGCGCGCGCAAAATGCACAAGGGGCACGACATCTGGCCGGCGCCGAAGCACGCGCAGGCCAAGCTGGACTTCGATGAAGATATGCATGGCGCTGCGGGGCCTGGTTTTGGCAATGATCGCGTTGGGGAGCTGCGGCAGCTCATGCGTCGCGCACTCGATGGAGTACTTGGCGCCGAGGGTCGCCAGGGCGTCTCGGGCAGCTCCTGATCGGGCGGCTCGAGCAGCCCCCTTTCCACTCCTTGTCAGGCAGCTCCCTGTCGGCCAACGAGCGCGCCAAGACTGCGCGGCGAGGCCGCCGCCACTTTCCATTGATCGCCACAGCAGTTCCAGGTCGCGCCGGGAGGCCCAGGGCGGCAGAGTGGCGCACCCTTTCGCGCCCCGCAGCCGCGGGGCCAGGTGCGCAGACTCCGCGACGAGAAGCAGCCTGCGGTTATGATGCTCCAACCTGCTTTAGCCTCGACCACCAAAACGAATTCCGAGCGCCCCCACAACGCGCCGAGGCTCGGTGGTTTTCGCGCGTCGGGCATTGGGAGGCACCCGCCCGACACCGTTTCGGCATTGTTTCCGACGCTCTCTTGACATTTTTTTCCGGGTGATCGAAATTATGTCTGGGGCGTGGCCCTTATGGGGGATGGGGGCAACGCAAGCCCGCGGGCGCGCCGAGCGCAGCCAGCCCTTCCGAGGTCAATCGAGGTTTTTTTTTCTGCAGCGCCACAACGGTAAACGTGGCGGCCCTCTCTTGCGCGCGGAAGGCAAAAACCGCTCGCGGCGGGCCCCTCTTCTGCGAGCGCCACGTTCCATCCGCCTGGGGCGCGCGGGCTCGCCGAGAGGAGGTGCACTCAGAGGAAACGGGGGGCCCTATTTCCCCCCTGCCGACCCTCCCCTCGCGGAGGGGCGGCGCACGGAAGAGTGGGGGCCGTCGTCGGGCAAGGGCCGGAGTCCCGTTGGTTTTTGGCCCCGATTCTTCGGTTTTGGATTTGGGTTCGGAGAGCTTTGGAGCGGCTTCTGCAGCTGAAAGTTGCGGCTGCTGTCTTTGTCGCCAGCGTTGTGCGCCTTGTTTCGGGCCTGGGTGCGCGCGGCGAGCATGTCGATGAGTCGAGCGAGGTCTGTGCGTCCGTCGGGGCCCGTACTTCGCGCTCCAGCGATATCCATGGGCGACTTCAACATCCCGGTCGTCGGTCTCGAGTCGAGCGGTTCCCCGCGCCTTGCTGGCGCGCGAGCAGATGCGCGTCAGAGCGTTGATAGCCATTGGTAACCTGTGGCCAGGGGGGGTGGCAGCGACCGAATGCGCGCTCGCGTCCGAGGGCTGAGCCGATTGCCTCCAGGTATCAACGCGCGACCCGCTCCTTCCCAAGATGCCAGCCTGCCCGTCAGTCTTTCCGGCGCGCGCGGCGGTCGATCAGCAGTTGCGGGGGCCAGTCAGAGCTGGTCGTTTCCCCGTTGCGAGGGGGGGCTTGAATTTCTCGCGCCAGCGAGCGCCCAGCGCCACCGCCGCCAGAGCTGCGCGACAAGTTGGCGCCGCGCGCGCAGGGCCCCGGACCGGCGGGGGCACCTGCCGAGCTTGTTGCGCCAAACAATGCGACCGAGATGACGTCTCTTCGCAGAGCCCCTGGCACCGCCCCCGCGAGAGGGCCCCCGCGCGGCCCATCTCAAGTTCAGGCGCGGCACGGCTGGGCGTCGGAGATTGCGCGGCGAGAGCTTTCGGCATGTTGTTTTGTGCATGTGGGCTCATGTGTCCCAGCAGCTGTGGGGGCCTCGTTTGCCGCTGGCCAGGGCGCTATGGAAGTCTTTCGATCTCTCGCGCTCCGCTCTGGTTGGGCCGCCGAATCGCGCCGGTGAGTTCCCGATTCCTGGAGGTCACAGGCCGGTCGAACGGCGGCGGGCTCAGCCCGGGCCTTGATGGCCTGGGTCGTTTTCCGACGCGGTCAGTTCGACCTGCGCCGAGGCCCGACCTGCTGCGCGCGCGGAGACTACAGCCGGCGCTAAACGGGAGCAGTTCAAGGCCCCCCCCCGCGGGGAGCAGAGCGAGCGCGCCCCTCGAGGCGCCGGCCTCGGGGCCCCTTAGCGCCCCGGCGGGCGCGGCGTCGCTTCGAGGGGGGCCGACGGGGTGCCGCGTGGACTCGTGGGGCCCATTCTCGGCGGGCATTTGGGAGTCGCTTGGAGCAGTTGTTCGGCGCCCACGACGTCTCGTTGCCCCATCGATCTGGCAGAAGCCATGGACTTCGACCCCCTGGGGCCATCGGACGTTCAGGGACATGCCCGTCTGTTGCGTGATGGCGTGGCTGGCGGAGCCAATCGGCGGCCGCCTCGCTCGCTTCTGCCCCTGCCCTCCGCGGCCGCGCAGGCCGACGCTTGCGCGCCCGATGGTTGCAAGGATGGGGTCGCGTGGCCTACCCAGGCCATGCTCGGCATCATCGCGCATTGGCACAAGTCTGCTGAGAGCGAGCGCCCAGTCTGCGAGAGCCCCGCGTAACCCGATCTGTCGAGAGGCCAGGGGCCATTTCGTTGGCCGCTGGATTAGAAGACCACAGGAACCTTGGGGGCACTGCTCGGGGCGCATCGTCGTTGAAGGCTGCTTTGTGCCGCGGTGCCAACCTTGAGATGGCCAAACACCTCGAACCGCGTTCTGCGGAGGTCTATTGTGGCCCCTAAAAAATGGTTCACGCCACTGTCGACCCTAGTAGGTCAGTGCGCCTGTCGGTCACGCCTCGGCCCCGCCCCCGAGCGTTCCTGGTGCGCGCCATGAGCGGCCCCCTCGGATTGGAAGTCCAAGGGTGTTGCCTCGTCATCGTTCCCATTGGTGACGCAGGTCTTCTTCTAGACTGTGCCCAGTCCATGCCATGGGCCACGCTGCGTCTCCAACCGCGCCCGCGCCGCCTTCCCCCCCCCCCCCTCCGCGTCAAAGGGCATGCCGCTGACGTCGCTCATCAGTCTCCAAAGGTCCAACTAGGTTCGACGTTTCTCCAAGCTAACCGGGGCGAGACAGCAAGCTCTGCAAGCCTGGGGCAACCTGGGCCCGCGAGGTGATCGATTTGTCTCTTGCCCAGGTCCATCCTATGAGAGCTCAATCTGTCGCGTGCGCTGGGCGGTTGGTCCCTGGGGCGTACACCATGACGGTGCTGGGTTTGGTTAGTAGTTCGACACTGGATCCTCAGTTTCGATTCGGTCATGAGCTGTTGAACGGGCGTGGGCATGCCGGGAAGATTCGCATCATACTTCTAGGAGTCAGGGTGCAAAAGGTCCGGCAGACGGGCCAGGACAAGCTCACGATAATTAAATATCGGTTACACGGGGGCGACGGGGCGAGTTTCTGCGAACCCGGCGGTCGTCTTTTCTTTTTGCGGCTTACCAGTGGAGAGACGGAGCTACGAGTCACCGGCCCCCGGCGCCCTCTTTTCGGTCACGGTCCGCCTCTCAGGCCGCCTGCCCTTCCATCTCTCGGGAGGGAAAGAAGCACACAGACAAAATGAGTCGTCGGTTCCCAGGGAAATGTGGGAAAGTATGGGGATTGGGGGGGAAGACAAAAACTCTGAAGATATGGGAAAATATTGGGAATCCTTGTATTTGTGTGTATTTATTTGTGTGTCCTGGGGCCCCTTTAATCTCGCAGGGCTGCGTTGCCCGCCATTCTTGCGGGACTGGAGCAGAACGGGGGGCGGGGTTCGCCGCCCCCCTCTGGAAGCCTCGGTCGGCCACCTCCCTCCGCTACGGGAGCTCTCCTGGACGTGGGGCCGCTTCTGAAAGAAGGGAGGATCGAGGGGGATCTGGGCAGTCGCGGCTGGCCCACTGTCCATGTGGGTGCAGATGGAAGAATCGACGCTGCGGAATGCGGCCCCTTGCCCTGCGCGCGCCAGTCTTTTCCGCGAGCCGAGTGTTTCGCCCGCGCCCCTCTGGCCGCGTCCTCCCCAGAAGATGTGCGACTGCATTGCGATTGATTGACGGTGGCTTCAGGAGCTCATCGGAGTTTAAATCCTTTCAGGAAGGCAATCGCATTCGATGCATGGGCTATCTTCCACAGGGTCCTGGATGAACGAGGGGTTCGCTCAGCGCGTCGCTGGCGAAAGTTTGCCCCGCCCAGGCCCAAGCAGTTCATTGACATGTGCAGGCTTGGTACTGGATGAGGAGGGGAAAACACACACAATCACAATTAATCGTCGATTCCCTAAAAATATGGGAAAATATTGGAAGTGGGGGGGAAGACAAATACCCCGTAGAAATACTGGAATATATGGGGAAACTATTTTTTAGTGTGTATTTATGTGTGTGTCCTGGGGCCCCTTCACTGGAGCTTACCTCAACAAGTCAGCTGGTCGATTTGCTGACTTGGCCGCGGAGCACTCGGTTCAGCGGCGAGGCAGCCGCCAGCACGAAGTGTGCTGATGGTTTGGCCCCCCCAGCGTTTCGAAGCGATCGCTGGTCGTCCAGCGCAGCGTATGTCTTTCCATCAAAGAGAGAACTGAGAATTTCCTTCGGGCGCAGGGCAAAGGGTGAAATCTGAAATGCCGCTTCGATGGATGCTCGAGGCTTGAATCTGCAAAAGGTGACTCACAAGACGGACCGATCTTCTAATTAGGTGCAAAAACCATATGGATGTCACCCTGGGCCCTCCACCCTAAGCAAAATGCTCGGGAGAACATGGCGGGTTATGTTGCATCTTCGGGGGACCTCGCCTGTCCCCAAAATTGGTGTCTTTTCTTGTGCCCGACGTGGGCTCGATGCGGACTCGACGCGACTTTGGCGTGGATTCGACGCGAATTTGAAACGGATTCGACACGGGGTCCGACGAGTCCGACATGGATTCGACACAGATTCGACGCGGATAGGGTCGCGACGCGACAGGCAAGGTCCCCCGAGGATGCAACATAAGGCGGGCCCTGAGAGACACCGCGAAGTCGCAGAAGCGGTATGCCTCCCTGCCCGTGCGCCGGTGCCGGCCCCGCGGTACGGGGCAGAGCCGTCTTGCCACGCAGTCGGTGGTGCGTCGTGGGTCTTCTCGCCCCGCGTTGTGCAGGTGATTTTTGAAGTTTCGGACTGTCCTCGACGAGTCGTCGAGTGAGGATTGTTGTCCTTTCCCAGGTGCGTCGAGTGAGGATTGTTGTCCTTACGAACCCAGGTGCGTCGTCGAGCGAGGATTGCGGTCCTTCCCCCCAGGCCCAAGTGGTCCAAGGCCGATCTTGGGCCTCCCCTGGTCGAGCTGAGCCGCGACAGCTCGCGCGGCGATGCCCTTGACCACCCAGCGGCGGGCCAGCGTCACGATCCCTGTCATCCTGCAGGTTCGAGAGGGGGTCCCGTTCTGTCAGACGCGCGGTGGCTTTTACATTGTAGGCCCTCCCCGTATTCTCAAAGGGGTCCACTTCGGTTCACACTGCGGCGCCTAAGTGCGTTTGCTTGTGAATTTAGTTCATTTTGTTCTGTGCATGTGCAATTGCGCACTTGCTGTGCAGGTGCGAACCGGCTTGCCTACGCGGCGGCTGTGTTCGCAAATGCGCTTCGTGCCGCATCCCGGACGCCGCTTCCGCTCCCTGACCTTTGCCTCGGAGCCGCCGACCCAAAAAAAGTATTCCCAAAGGGGAGCAGGGCGACCCCACCCGAGGTCCATGCCCTTCGAGGGCGGGGAAAGAACATCGGTCGCGGCGCTGGAGGGGCGTGCCCCCAAAGTCGGGCGGGTTTTTTCCCGGTGTGAGCTCATGTGTTGCTCTGCGGCCTGCGTAATTAAGTCAGGAGGGGAAAACACACAGACACAAGTAATTCTCGATTCCCAAGGAAATATGGGAAAATATGGGAAGTGGGCGGGAAGACAGAAACCAAGAAAATATAGGAAAGTATAGGGAGTATTTTTATTTGTGTGTATTTGTTTGTGTGTCCTGGGGCCCCTTCAGTAAAGCAGGACCCCTGCATGTACTTACTTGGAGTTCGAATCCTCTCTCTTGTATCCTGTCGTTTCCGTCACCCTCCCGTGCTTGCTCTCTGCCCCCAATTTCTAGTTTTTTTTGTCCACGAGCGTCGATGCCGTCACCCTTATCCCCTTGCTTCTCCTGCCCGCTTCCCCCTCCTTGACTGATCCCAAGGGTATGGTTTGTCTCGTCATGATCCTCATCTCTCCATCTCCTCCCTTCATCGTTGCAGGCTGTGCTCCTGCTTCCTGCCCTTGCCGCGCACCCGTCGTCCTCCCGGTAAAGGTATTGGACGCGAAGTTTGGCGATTCGCAGGACGTCAAGGAGTTGCTGAACACAAAATTAGTCACGGACCCGCGGGTCTTCAAGGAACGCATCGCCGAGGTGACCGACCTCAACACCAAGCTGAAGGAAACGCGATGGCGGAGGGAGGGGAGGAGGAGGAGGTGGAGGAGGAGAAGGGAGACCGAAGTGAGCCAACACGTCCCAGGTCCCGTCTTTCATATACAAGAAGTACCGCCGCTGCGAGACAGATGCGCCTGAGTGGCTGGCACCCCATGGTCCTCCTCCTCCTCCTCCTCCCCCTCCTTCTCGTATTCCTCCTCCTCCTCCTCCTCCTCCTCCTCCTCCTCCCCCTCCTCCTCCTCCACTTGGGGCCAGGGGCCCAACTTTGAAATGGAGCGACCGCCCATGCTGTCAGACATGAGGCCGCCAGTGAAGCATGATGACGGAACCAGAGAAAACCTTTGTCAGGAGGGGCAAAAACAAACAGACACCATTAATCGTCGATTCCACAGAAAATATGGGAAACTATGGGGAGTTGGGGGGAAGACAGAAACCCCGACAATATTGGAAAATATAGGGAATGAGTTTATTTGTGTATTTACTTTAAACATCTGGTGAGAAGCCGCTTTCACAAAAGCGACGCGTCTCAGTGCGTGATCTGTGCACTGCTTCTCCAAGCGCGGTAGGTCGCAGCACCAGTCGGGCCTGTCCCTCTGCAGGAGAAATATTCAGAAATGTTATAAAGAACAGTATGGGGAGTATTTTTTGATAGTTTTGAATATGTTGGTGCATTGTTGGGATATCTTTGATTCTCTAGGCTTACGCCACATCCGCCGACCCCTTTAAGGGGGGTTGGGGTGTGGGGGTCGGTTTTGAGCACATGTGTGGTCCCGCGGGTCACGGTATAGTTAGGTGGTCGAGGCGCTGCGGCGGCGACCCAGCAGCGGACGTTCGAGGTGGAGCGTCGCCGGTGGCCAATAATATATTTGGTGCTCAGCGTTTTTTTTTTTTCCTTGGGGGGGTCCTGGTTCTTTTCGCGGGGGCGTCCTGGCAGCATTGTTGGAGAGCTTCTGGGGGCCTCATGCTGTTTCTGTGGGGGCCCGCGGCTTTACATTGCCGTTTGGATTCTGCGGTAGGGCCGTCCCGGAGCACTCTTGGAGGCATCTTGGGCCGCGTGGATGCCATCTTTGGCGTCTTCGAACGATCATTTGGCGGCTCGGGGTTCTGGTGAGTTGTCGTGGGGGCCCTCTGGGAGTTGCCGAGGCTGGACCCCAATTGAAAGCTGGAGTGGATTATGTGATCAAGGAGGGATGGGAGAGTTATTCGTGGGTGCCGTTCCCGGATGTTCCGGAGTTGGAAACTCTGAGGCACACGTGGGTGCTGGTGCGGAACGAGCGCCCGAGGAACCCGAGTTTTCATGGAGCGCCGCAGCCGAAGCACGGAGCGGGGCAGGAGGATAGGAACGCGCTCTTGTTGATGGTATATTTTCGGGCGTTCACACTGCGTGACGACGTCGAATGTGGAGTGCCGCACCTGCAGGACTTCCGCGGAGCGCAGGGGTCGTGGGCGGAGGCGTCATTGGAGTGGTTAAAGAAAGGCATGTCATGTGAAGAAACAAAGAGGTACGTGCAGAACTACATGGGCGCGGTGGATATGCGACCAGTCACGGACGAAGATCTAGTGAAACACGAGGACGAGCTGCACAGCGATGAAGAACTGGATCCGAGAATTGTCGACGCGACGACAAGGCGGAAGACGCATGTGGGAGGCGCGTCCATGGAGAAAGAGGACAGGCGGAGAAATGTAGATGCGGAGTGCGAGAAGGAGAAGAGCCGGGAGGCCATGGCCAGGGGCGACGCCGTGTGGGGCGTGAGCACTGGTCGGATGAACGGAAAGCGCAAGAAGCGCGGAGGGGGCGGTGTGTTGAGGTGGGATGACGCGGAAGCGAAGAAAGCGCAAGCGGTGGCCGCGGCGTCAAAGGCCGCAGAAGGCAGCGGCGCAAGCGGAGAGGAAGGTGCCCCAGAGGTGGTGGCGGCCAAGAAAGCAACAGCGTCAAGTGTGCGGAGATGGAGGCAAGGGATCGCGGAGAACGGTTGAACGCGGGGCAGCGTAGCGTCGTTGAGAAGGTGGCAGATCGCGCGTTGGCGCAAGCATTCGGGGGGTCCGCGAGCGGCCAGAAAACAGGGCAGAGCGGTTCTGATATGCAGCCCCTCGCGTGGACGTTGCATGGCGGCCCGGGGACTGGGGAGAGTTTCGTCATAGACAAGATCCGGAAGGAGCTGTTCGAAAAAGAGCTGGGGTGGGCGCGCGGCGTAGATTTTCACGCGGCAGCGTTGCAGGCTACAAGCGCGCCAGCTCTCGACGGGGGTACGATTCGCAGTGCATTTGGTCTCGGTGCGGACAAAACGAAAGAGAAGGACGCGGCGGGCAATGCCGACGCAGAGACGAAGAAGAAAACGAAGACAGAGCAAGCGGCGCAGCGTATGTCACAGTGGAAGTGGCTGATTGTGGACGAGGTGAGCATGGTGAGCGCAAACTTCATCGCGGAACTCGATTCGCATCTGCGGACGTGCATGCCAGCTGCGAGTGGCACGAATGTAGGGACAGACGGTGTGGACAGGCCGTTCGGAGGCATCGACGTGTTGTTCTGCGGAGACTTTTATCAGTTAGAGCCTTCCCCGGGAACTGCCATCAATGCGCTGCCCGCGTCGCATCTGAAAAAAAAAGCCAGAAAGTGCGCGCTGGGTGCCGCGGAGGACCACGGTCAGCATATCTTCTGGGGACGGGGGGGCCCAGGGGCAGTGCAAGGAATGACAGAGCTGACAGAGTGCAAGCGCGTGGGGGAGCCAGACACCTGGTCCCTCGGGGTGCAAGACGAGTTTCGTCGAGGCGAATTGACGGAGAGAGCGCGCAATTTCTTGTACGGGCGGCCGACGGGCGTGCCAGGTCGCGGGCGAACGGCGCGCCGCAATGCTGAAACTCGCAGCGTCGAGTTAAAGCAGAGGAAAGTGGCAGAGACAATGAACTGGAATGCGCGGTGTGCAAAGTGGAGCGAGGGAAGAGGAAACTCGTGGCGACGTCGCCGGTAGACCCGCGATTTCGGGAAGAGAAATTCGTGGAAGCCGTGGTGATCTATGCCAATCAGGACATTCGGTGCCACGTCGGGAAACAAAGAGCTGCGCAGTGGGCGGAGGAACACGGAGAGCAACTGCTATGGGTCGCGGCGAGAGATCGCCCGTGCCACGGGGGGGGGCAGAGACGCCCGTGCACCGCGGGGGACAAGATACGGTGGCTGGGTTATCACGAAAAGGAGTGCGCGAGCTTGCTGGGGTGGCTGCCGTTGGCGAAGGGGATGCCCGTGGCCTTAGGAGATCACTTGGACAGGTCGAAGAAGCAGCTGCTGCGGGGAAGCCACGCGACGATTCATGGGTGGGTCTTGCACGAGGACGAAGTCGTGGGAGACGAAGAAGAAGAAGAAGTGTTGTCGCACTTGCCAAGAGTCATAGTGTTGGACTTCCACACGAAGAAATGGCACTTGCCCGGGTGGGAGCCGGGACTGTATCCAATTTTTCCATAGAGGGGGCGCCAGTGGTTCTTGGACGGGCATCGGAAGCACCCGGCGTTGGGGGTGAAGCGCGCGCAGTTTATGATTGCGCCAGCGTTAGCAATCACAGCGCACGCCGCGCAAGGGCGGACGTTGGGCGCAGTGATAGCGGATCTGGAAAGAGGGCGCGGCGTAAGTTGGATGTCCAGTTACGCGGCGATTACCCTGGTGAGGAGACGGGAAAACTTACTTATCTTCAGGCCCTTCGACAGGAAGCCGCGCAACGAGGGGGAGATGCCCGGCGCGCAGAAG